CCTTGTGCCCCACCTGTGCCTGCAGCTGCACAGTGCCTTTGAGGGCCCCCATGCCCAGCTGAGTGCGCACAGTCCTTGAGAGGCTACTTACCAAGCCAGTCCTGACTGAGGTGTCCCCACGCTTGGCCCCCTCTCTGCCCTGTCCTCATAGCAGGTAGCCTGGCTGGCTGTTCCAGGGGAGCGGTAGAGAAAAGAGGGCAGAAGAAAAACCCACAGTTGAAAGCTGCAGCCAGAAAAATACTCTGGAGGGTCTGTGAGCATCTAGCAGCTCACTCATGGGCTGGGGTACAGCCTGTCCACAGCACTTCAGCTCATGGGTCTCTCTGCTAGGGCCTGAGGACCAGCAGGGGCTGGGCTCTGCCCACTGGGCTGAGGGGTGAGGTGAGACCCTCCTCTGGAGGACTGGAGTAGGGTGCTCCACACTGCACCTTCTGTCCGTCACCGTAGATGGGGCCTGATGACTGATGTAGGAAATGAGGACCCTTCCTTGGGCAGGTACTTGCTGGTGCACTCAAAGGCATGGTCCTTTGGTCACTTGTGGAGGAGGTGTCATTGCACAGGCAAGCGAGGCTCAGGGAAGTCAGGCAACAGAAGTGAGAGTGCAAGACCAGAACACAGGCCTCAGGCCCCAGACCTGCTGCTCTTCCCATCCTGTTTCCAGCCAGGCTCAATTGTAGGTCAGAGAATGCTAATGAAATTGTTGTTTTTTTTCCCCCCCGTACCAGAGATGAAACTCAGGACCTTGCACTTTTGAGGCAAGCATGGGAGCCACTGAGGTAAATTCCCGGCCCTGAAATTTTTTCTTTTTCTTTTTCTTTTTTGGTACTGGATATCGAACTCGGGTCTTTGTGCTTGTGAGGCAGGCGGCAGAACCACTGAGCTAAATCCCCGGCCCTGAAATTCTGCTCTGACACTTGCGCCCAACAGTATTGTGCCAAGGGACTTGCTGTGGTCAAAACACCTGTGCTGGGTCTGAGGTTCACCTGAAGTGCTACTGTGTGATAGGAGGCAGTTGAGGTTCAGAACTGCTAACGACCTTGTCCAAGGTCATAGAAAATGGCACCACCGGGATTGCAACTCAGGTCTGCCCAACTCTAATCCACCTCTTTCTACCTCATTGCCTTGCCTTTTTCCTCTCCCCACAGGCACAGCAAGATCCTCATGACCTGGCACCAACTCTCTGGGGACCCAGAAATGCCATGTTTCCTCTTGGTCCATGCTGCACACAGTCACAACTTGTGTCACTTAAGCGTGGCTTGCCAGTGTCACTCTCCTTTTCCGGCTTCCCTGAGCCCCCTGAACCACCTTCAACACCTGGAGTGACTTAGGTCCTTTTCCCTTCCCCTGTCTGGATCCTCAGCATCCAGCAGCACTTGCAGCTATCGGGGGTTGGTTCTGGTTGTCTTGTGACTGACCAGCCTGAGATTATTATCCAAGTGGTCCTTAGCCTCACCTTCTATTTTCTGTTGCTTTGCCCAGGAAGACAAGGCCCGGGTCCTAGATTTCTTGTGCCCACTGTTATACAGGGGCTCAGGCAGCTGCATTAATGACAGACTGGCTTCTTAGCTAGTGGTCCCCAGCGACACTGCCAGAATCATGGTTTCCATCTTGGCTTTAGTTGCATTTCTTTGACAAGGTGAGATCAAGTGTAACAGGTCTGCGAGACATGGGGTAGGGGAGGAATACTGGAATGCATAACACTGTCTGCACACTGTGGTCAGACACTGCTAGGAACAGACGTGGAGTGGACCCTGGTGGGTTTATTGGCTCACTGCCCACCATGGGAGCTGTGGGGCTGTTGGTGGACTCCAGAAGGAACTGGCTCTGAGAGAGGGGGTTCGAGGCAGGTGGCTTGGGAGAGGGCTCACAGAAGCTGGCTTTACTTGGGATTGAAGGCTGCCAGGGAGAGATGATGCGGATGGGCACCTTAATAACGCTTAGCTGGAAAGTGGGGGCACCAGAATGCGGCCAGGTGCTTGTAAGGAGCCATTCTGTGGCCTGGGCGATGCTCTTGCTTTGATGTGTTCGGACTCAACATGGGGGAGTGGCCTTGTTCGGGGCTCACACTGTGGTGGTCACGAAGTGGGCCTGTTGGATGCTGGGGAGCTGCTATGTCCAGCAGATCAGCGCAGCCCCACCTGAGTTTTGGGCCAGCCCCTGGCTCTTGGAGGCTGCCTTCACCTCTCTCCAAATGGCTCTGCCCTCAGTGTCCCACACAGCATCTCACTGAGTGACACTCATGGTCTTTGTACAAGAAATTCTTTTCCAGGCCTCCACTTTGCTCAGTGATATATGTTCATGTGCGTCCACCTGTGAACGTGATTCCATATGGGGTACTTGCCTCTGGGTTGTAGAAACGTGTATCGTTTTTAAGCTGCTTTTGTATACTTGCATAACTATTTCACATTTTCTGGGGTGCAAATGGGGTAGTTTCTACTTTTGAAACTGTAGCTTCACTTCCAACAAAGGCTGTTATGCTTTCAAGCTTTTAAGTAAAAATAAACAAGATAAGGTTCCCATCCTGAAGACAACAACCATAACGTCCTGTGAAAATAACAGCAAGGGAAATGGCAGGGGCTGCTAGAAAGCGAGGGGAGAAGCCAGGAGGGCTTCCCGGAGGAGAAGGAGGGCTTCCCGTTGGAGATGAGTAGCGAAGACGTCTCCGCCAAGCAGGTAGAGGTGTGGGGACAGGATCTGGGAGATCCATGTTGGACAAGGATTCAGGAGTCATATGGTAAGACTTCCTTGGGAATAGTATAAAAGTGAGCGCCCCCAGAGCCCCAATATTTAAAAGGTAGAAGCCTATGAAAGGGGTGCTATGCATTTAACAAATACTTTTACTGCCGACCAACTATGTGCCAGGCACTGAGCTGAGCCCTTAGGATTCATCAGTGACCCAAAGAGACCAAGTCTTCTGCCCTCTTGAGGCTTACACTGGAAGATGAGTAACAAACTACAAACAATACACATGTTTATTATGTGGCATGATAGAAGGCGGTAAAAATGCTATGGAGAAATGGAAAATAAAAAGCAGAGCAGGTCAGGAGGGCGTGGTGCTAGGGGGTGAGAGCAGGTGGGCTGTGGTATGATGGGGGGGTTCGTTAAGGACAAAACATTTGATCAAGGATGGGAAGGAGGTGCATCTGGGTAGAGTGATCAGGCCGTCCCATCCAGCGTCAAGGCCCGGGGGCAGGAGGGCTGGAGACAGAGAAGGTAGGGAGAAAGGAAAAGGAAGAAAACAGTGGACAAAAAGAAATCCCTCATATATGCCCAGGCCAAAGCTCAGGTGACACAGATGTCATAGAAGATGAGAAAACCTGTCACAATGTTTTTGGCATGAATGCTAAAAGAGATAAACCAATGGCTTTATAAGAGCAGAATTATAATAAATATTCAAGTAGATTTCAAATAACAGTTGAGATGCTGAACACAATTGATAATCTGATATTCTGTCTTTTTTCCTCTATCAGCCGAATTGCATGCAATTTTAGAAGGAAATTAGATTACAAGAACAGCCATCAACATTTTTAATAGATCTGGACAGTGTGGAGCAAATTTGAATGTCTTATTTAATCATTGTTATAACCCAGTAAAGACAGTGTCCCTATGGTCCCCATTTGGTAGATGGGGAAATTGAATCCATGAGAAATAAAATGGTTTACAGGACATCTAACTTTCCTGGGTCTCCGCCAACATTCACGCCCCACCCCACAATCCCCTTTCCTCAACCCCATCTCTCCAGCCTAAGATTGTAGAATTTTGCTAACAAGAGAACTACCTGAAGGAATATCAGTTTGTATTGTGTATGTGGGGTTTATATGCTCTCCATCAAAGTTTATCTGTTAGGGCCAGGGATTTAGCTCAGTGTGGCTCTCCACCTGCCTCGCAAGCACAGAGTCCTGAGTTCAATACCCAGTA